CTACAGCTGGTTCCCGGCTGTTAGCTGAAGCCATCTAATTTAATGTTTTAAAATGTATCAGAAATAAGACCAAATAATATTAAAATAAATAATCAAATGGATACACTGCCTGCACAATTATTAGGCAAGTAAGTATTATATTTTCTATGCACAATTTCCAATTCCAAACCATATAAACTTTCATGCTCATTGGAGTTTTCAAAAAATGCCAATCAGACTGATGCTACACTCTTATAATAATAACTAAACTTTTGAGGCGTGACCACCGAACAATCAAATGTTTTGTTGCGAATAGTCAACTGGGGCGAGAAGTGCATGGAGAAGAAAAGGCACAAATTAACTGCAAAAGACTTGAGTAGAATTAAACGTGAAGCTACCAGGAACCCATTATCCTCCAGTGCCACCATATTCCAGAAGTGCAACCTACCTGGAGTGTCAAGAAGTACAAGGTTTGGCACCTTGTACTTCTTGCTCAGAGTGCTCGGAGACATGGCCAATGTCAGAAGGCTGAAAAACAACCACCACTGTGATTCACAAACAAGATTGGCCAAAGAAATACCTGAGAACAAATTTTTCAAAGGTTTTATGGACAGATGAAATGAGAGTGACTCTTGATGGACCAGATGGATGGGCCTGGATCACTGATGAACACGGCATCACTTCTTATGTCAAGGTGTGTGACTCAGGCACCAGCAAGGTGGAGGAGGGGTACTGGTATGGGCCGCATTAAGGATGCACCTTTTCAGGTTGAAGGTGGACTGAAACTCAACTCCCAAAACTACTTCCAGTTTCTGGAAGATACTTTCTTCAAACAGTGGTACAGGAAGAAGTCCTTAGCATTCAAGACAGCCATGATCCTTATGCAGGACAATGCTCCATCACATGCATCCAAGTACTCCACTGCTTGGCTAGCCAGCAAGGGCCCAAGTTCTGACCTGAATCCTATTGAGAACTTGTGGTGCCTTTTCAAACGTAAGATTTACAGCAAAGTCCTTATATACACACTTTAAATGTCTCCGTTTACAGTCAGGGAAGACAATACACCTCCTTGAACAGCATTTGGGAGGCTGTTATTGCTGCTTGAACGAAAGTTGATCGGGAACGGATCATGAAACTGACAGACTCCATGGATGGAAGGCTCATGGCAGGTATTTAAAAAAAGGCTGGCTAAATTGGTCACTAAATATATTTTAAAGGCATTTTGTGTTGTTACAGTTACTGATATGATTTTTGTAATTTAGTTGCCTAGTTATTCTTACTTTTTCATAGTTAAACATTCAGTTTTGAGGTTTAATTATATTTTGGACTGACTGAGAGCAATGTGTTTCTTCAATGATCAAATTAATCCTGAGGAATACAATTTGCCTAATAATTGTGCATTGTGTGTGTAAATAAGAGTTGTTAATTAATCAGCAAACATACCTAAATAAATAAATCTCTTTAGTTTATTGCTGTATTTCCACATTTAAGTAACATCAGTATAATGTTAGGTGCTTGATGGACCATCATCATGTGTTTTAGAACATGAACTAAAGCCATTTTTGTCCTCATGCCCTGCTCAGGTGTGTAAGCAAGAGCGTACAAACAGCTAACTGCAACTGTATTGCTTTTAGCCTGTTAATGTGTTATTTCTCCATTTATAAGTTACCCACCATGTGTGATTACACAAGAAACACTGGAAAGCACTGTTTATGAGCTGTTGTTGCTGAGTGGTTAAGGCGATGGATTATAAATCCATTGGGGTCTCCCTGTGTAGGTTTGAATCCTCCTGCTCGGATATTCAGGCTTTGTTCAGACTGCAGGCAGGTTACATTTGTATCTAGAATCAGAGCATGGACTGAAAATAACTGTATGGTGTTGGTGATGCCAGAGAACACAGACCTGGGGCCTATCCTACGAAGCAAGTTCAACATACCAGTATATCTTTCAGTTATCTGGCTTTGCTAAACCTAACAATTGCGATCATGCTAAGCGGTCACAGGATGCTGGTTATCAACTAAGTAAGTCAATCCAGCCATGAGCATGTGCTTTTAGAAGGGGCAGGCAGTATTTGCTGCATATGACCACTCACAATGTCTACAGTCAGCAGACTGTGGCATATTTTACAGATGAAAGCAAACTCTTACTAGACAAATTAATTTAAACATGTAATGCATGCTAAAAGCAACACAGCTGCCACAGGAAAACCGAAGTGAAGCCATATATGTCACGGGTTAGCTGAGTGCAGACTGAGGTGAGGACCCAAACGCAGACAATGGCAAGGCGAGAGGATGCAGTTTATGGTGGGGATTTATTAATTAAAAAAAACTAAACTGAAACAAGCTTACATGGAGCTCCATGCGGAGTCCAAACAAAGGTAATCCAAAACAGGGAAAACAGAGCACAAGGCAGAACACTCACAGGACGTGACCAAGAGTGGAGACACAAGCATGCATACATATACACAGGGACTAACGAGCGGGGCGGGAGCAACACAGGTGAGTGGGATCAGGGCTAACGAGGCAGACCGAGTGTATGGAAAACAGAGAGACACTTACAGATGCAAAACACCATACATTAACAACAACCACCACCACCACCGGCTGAAGGAAGGACAAAACAGAACTCAGATTAGACATGGGCACAATAACACATAAGAACACAGACCAGAAGAAAACACTAAGACATGAACTAATGTACAGGACTAAGAACTAACTAAACCAGACTACACAGAGAAACAAAACAGACTTAAACAGGAAAGACATGAACACAAAAACCACATTCCTAACAATATATGTCCTACTACTTGTGGGTGCAAGCGCCTCTTGATGGGGTGAGGACCTCTGTGTGATAGCAGATTGGCCCTATGCTACAACTAACCTTGTGGTGCAATGGTAGCGCATCTGACTCCAGATCAGAAGCTTGCGTGTTCAAATCACATCAGGGTCAAACAACTAAACCTATTTCCCTAACACTGACAAGAGCTTAAACTGTGCACCTCATTGTGTGTTTGGGTGCTATGTTAAATGTAGCACTTGGATTGACATCATCTCTCTAAGATAATAACAACATACAATAGTAGCTCGTCTGACTCCTGATCAGAAGGTCAAACACTTGTATCTTCCTGTAGTTGTGTGGGCAGTATGTTGGACTGTGCATGTTGAGTTTATAATTATTAATGACTCATAGAGAACATTGACATTGATGCTTTTTATCTGTATTTTGCTCTTCATTTGACCTGTTTACAAAAGTTTTGGTGAAAAACAATGACCTCATCCCAGGATGCTGCCACTTTTGTGCATCTAGTCCAAGAAGGAGAAGACAACAGGAGTGTTTCACCACAACACATTATAAAGCAAGGTGTTCAAGGCAGCCTCTGTTGTGGACACAGACACATTCAGATATGTGAGGAGAATATGAATGGTATGAGGCACTCAAAGTAAAGACAATAATTGGAGATGATCCTATACGATGGCAAAAATAATGACAAAGATAATCACACAGCAGGTTTAAAATGTTATTATTTGACTCCACACACACACACACTCACACACAGACACACAGTAACACAAAAACACACATCATTTTTTCATCATCCATTATGATGTCCTTAATAATAAGTTACATATAAGACTTCTCCTTTGTTTTCCCTATTTAATAGTATCAGGTCCTCTGGTTTTTCAAGCATACAAAGTGCAACAGATGCATATTGTTTGGGGGCTTGAGCGGGAGGGAGTTGAACAGATACACAAGAAGGCGTTGGCATATTTATAGCTTAAACAGAAGGGAGGAGAAGAAGAAGGACGTGGGGGGTCGGAGAAGATAATGACAGAGTGGGAATAAAGATAGACATTTATTTTTAAAACCATCTGTTTGGTGTTGAATGAGCATTGTTAGGCCAGGAATGCCAGGTCGAAAAGCTGTACTAGTCTTGTTTAACCATGTATCTTTTTTATATGTATATGCCATTTGAACATTGTATGATATTATTTGCAAGACTGTAAAGTGGGAGGACAAAAAAGAGAAGGAGAAGAAAAGCATTTGTAGACAAACTAAATAACAGTGGACAGGGGGAGTCAAAAGGGAGAATGAGATGATGAGAAAAAAAATAGGAAGTGTGTGAATTTATATAACTATTGATTAAAATATTTAATTATAATATTAATAATATTTAATAATAAAATAACTTAGCAAGGTTGGGGCAAGCCCAGTACATAGTGTATGCATAATATCAGGTACAGTATTAAAGCTGCACTGAAAGCAGTAAGGCAGACAGAAAAAGAAAGGTATTCTTTGGAAATTGAAATAGGAGTGTGTATCAGGAGATGCGTGTAAGCTAAAAAGTGTTATGAGCTAAGGGCAGCACTCAAGGTGATGTCTTTTTCTTCCCTTTGTCCTACTAGAGTTCTTAGTTTCTAACAATTTATTACATCTGACAACAGTAAGTCCTCCATTAACATTTAATGAAAATGTTCCTTTAATTTGATGTTTTAGTTTCTCAATTTGGGAAACAAGCTTTCTCAAAATGTTCTCTTGCTGAGAGTTAGATGAGAAAATCGATACCACTCTCTCACCTGTCCGTTAAATATCAAGCTACAACCGGGAGGCACTCTCTCCAAGTAACAAAATCCTCTTACCAGCACCTCTAAAGCTTCTTAATACAATATATCTTGTTTGTTTAATCCAAACAAATGGGGAGTTATATACTGGGCTGTAATGAACGAAGAAATTGTGTAATGGATTTAACAAATAATAGATACTAGACACCTGCAGTCATTCGAACATACCAGCAACACAAAACTGCTTCCAAATCAACATTTTATATTAAGAGCTAAAGGTAGATTGCGTGTCTGTGAGCATGTTTAAAGGACTGCATGCACGCATCCATGTGTGTATTATATGTGTGTACAGCCACAGTTTCCACAGCAGACGCAGCTGTCTGACACGTTGGACTGCGCCTATGTCACTGACTCTATTTCAGGACCCTGTGTTGTTCAAAAGGTCAGATAAAGAAGCATAGGAATCCTCACAAAGGGTGGGGTTGTCGGGTGAACGGGAATGAAGGCGGCTATCCACAAACCAACATGCACATCACAACCACAGGGCAGTGCTGACAGAGACGGGGAGAAAGTGAGACAGGGAAGCAGAGTAGATTGGTGAGAAGCTGAGAGTGGGGCATTAAGCAGTGCACCTGTGAAGAGGATTCATTTTGGTCCAAATGAAAACTTTCTAGGGACGATAGAAGGGATCATTTAAGAGTCCTGGGGTATTTGTTTTGTTTTGTTTTTTTAAAAATCCTTTGATCCAGTGGATAAACAAGAATTTTCTGGATACCATGGATGAAGAATTTCCCAGCCAGGAGATGTCTGGGTCAACAGAGACGACCAGTCAGACTGACACCAACAACAACTACAACCAGGTCTGTGTTTTTACGTGGTATATTGAATTGCAGCATAAAGGTTTTCACATTTGTAAAACCCACAGTGCTACGATCCGTACCAGGAATAGGCAGTAAGTGTATTTGTGGCCATGGCAGGTGTTGTGTTTGGACAGCAGTACAGGAGAAGTGTTAAACCTGGTCTCACTCCTGGCTGAAGAACACACACAAACACAGATTATGCAAAGTAATGCTTGTGCGTGCACTCAAACAAACATTGTGGAGATTCCTTTTCCCTCTGATGAGTCACCACTGCAAGGCATGACCTGGTGTGACTGTTCCTGCAGAAGGTCATAATACTAATATTTTACTACATACAGTATTTCAAATATGAATAGATTCATCTCAAAGATAAAAATGCTGTGTGCCACATTTTGTCTAGATGAGATCTGACATCCCTGAAGATTTTAGTAAAGTTTCAATGCATGACCCTCAAGTGATTGTTGACAGCTTTTCTTCCTCAGATTAATTAATAGCACTCATGGCCTAAGAAACTAGTTTATGTGATATTTAAATGAAGAGCGCCAAAGGGGTTTTTGGTTTTTAATTAGTTGTGGATTTAAAATTATTTACTTTGGGATGAAGGTACCTGTACTTTAGGTTCTGGTGTGATTTAAAAACTACAGGAAGTTCAGCCTCTCAGCCAGATTCAAATAAGTGAGATACTCAACAAATCCCAGAGTAGAGCTCCAGGTCTCACATTACATTATGCTCTTTAGATAGAGGACCATGATATCCCCAGAGTGAAATGGGGAGGTTAATTTTAGTACATCTTAACACAATGTTACCTTTCAAACTGAAGTCGTGTTCTTCATCATTCAGACAAGATTGTCACTAGATTGGTTGTATCTTCTTTGTACCTTTGAAAGCAATTAAACTGAAAGCTAAATGTATCTCTGCAGTGAACATGGAGCGGGACAGACGCAGGATAAAAACAGATATATTAGGCTTCCTCATGTGTCCTTTAATTGATATTGAGGCATACCATTTTAAATGATGTATCATCAGTATTGTGTGAGAATATGCTTTAGTAAAAATCTTTTGGACACTAAAACTCCTCATTTGCTCTCAGACTAATAAGACAAAACAACATAAAACATGTCTGTTGTAAATGAATGAAGTGATGCAGAGGTTGTGGTCTTAGCTACAGCTGTATGTCTCCAATGAGTCAGTCAGGCTAAGGATTTGCATGTGACATTAAGGACAAGGAGCGTAGAGCTCCTCTTGGTCTGAACTGAAAAAATGTTTAAAAAAACAAAACAAATGTGAGATGCATCATCCTATCAACATTTGGAAACACATTTTTTGTCTCCCATTTTGCCAATGCCTTCAACCAGAAACATAGTTGTGGTCAAGGGAGAATAATATTGTAAATGGAAATGGCCTACATGATGTCCAATATTCATATTGCTTTGATATATTGGCCCAGCCTATTTACAAGTAACTTTGAATAAAAGTAAAAGGTACGACTTTCAACCACATCTTGTGGCTTTTCTCAACAGATATGTTACTCAGGTATGATAAGTAAATTTGATTAAATTTTAATGTGACTTACTGGTAAATTTCAAACATAGGAACTGTAAAAGATCTATAAAGTTAAAGTCATATTTGTCAACAGATATAGAGGATAGAAATGTATGTGCAAGTGTAAATCTGTAGAAGGACAAACTTGCTTTGTAACCTCTTTACATTATTTTGCAGATGGATTTGACACTTAATGAAACTCTTTCTTATGCTTGTCTGCCAGATAGATGAGGACGAGAGTAAAGACCCAGGGAGAGAGCCTCCAGCGGGGGAGACAGCGGAAGGTCAAGGGTTAGGGGAGGTCGGGGGGAAGGGGGAGGAGGATTCAGAACCAGACCAAGGAGGAGGAGACGAGGCCGAGAATACTTCATTAGAGCGTGTTGAAGGTGAATTTGAAGAGGCTGGACAAGATAAAGACAAAGCCTCCACTGATGTTGACCTGAAGGATCCTGAATCAACAAGTGGAGAAAAAGATGGGGAGGGAAAGAGGGAGGAAGATAAAGAAGGTGGGCAGGTGGAAGAAGTCAGGGACAAAGAAATGAAGGATAATAACAGAGAAGAGAAGAAGAGTAAAACAGAGCAAAAAGCCAACGAAGCTGGAAAAGATGTGAATGAAAAAGCAGAAAAAGGGGCAGAGAAGAAAAAACAAGTCAAGGAAGTGGATGTAGAGACGAAAGACAAAGGAAAGATTAAGGAGGTAGAAAAGCAAGGGAAGCCCAAAAGAAAGAGTGGTCCTCCCTCCTCTTCTCTCTCCCGACCAAGACTCTCTGCACGCTCTATTAGAGCGTCTGCTAAAAATGACATCATTGCGAAGTTCCAGCAAGGTGCACCAGAGTAAGTCATTGTGTCATACACAGTACCTCAAATATGTTTAGAGAGTGACAGTGAAATATGATCTGAAAAGGGTTTAATCAGAAACTGTGTAATATTGTGACATTTTTAGGACACCCATACCCCGCAACTTTAAGATTCAGAGGTCATCTGCAGCTGTGGCTACAGGAGCTTCAATTAAACAGAAGATGCTTCAGTGGTGTCGCAACAAGACTCGCAACTACAAGGTGAGTTCAACACAGAATCAAATTCCCAGATGTGTTGTTTTGTGACCAAAGAACTTAATATACAGTATATAATATAAATAAGCCTTGGTGTAGATGTGCTTTGCTCTGTCTATCTTATCATTGACGTCGTTCTGTCCTTTAACCTTTTAGGGCGTCGAAATAGAAAACTTTTCATCGTCCTGGTCGGATGGGTTGGCGTTCTGTGCTCTGATCCATCGTTTCTTTCCTGATGCTTTTGACTACAGCTCCCTGAATCCAGAGGAGAGGGAGAAGAACTTCACTCTAGCCTTTCAAACTGCAGAGTATGGAGTATTTAATAGTCTCCCCTTCATTTCTTCAGTTCAATTCTTTATCATCCCATTAGAAGAAATGTGTTTCTGTGTGCAGCAAGACAGGATAAAAACATACAATTAGATTTTTGAAGACATTTCATTTACTATACATAAACTATATAAAACAATAACAGGTTCCTGTATTGTACATTGCACGTGTATATGGACTTCTTGCGCCTAATTTTCTCAAACTGTATCTGGCTGTAGAGAAGGATGTTAAATTCCTCCTCCAGTTAAAAGCCACTGGCAAAGATAGCTCCTTGACAGTGTTGCCCCATTGACTCCTGTTTGGCACATTTAAAACAACAAATTAGTGAGAAGGTCAGGACTCTCTTTCTTTACTAAATGTCACCGCTTTGTCCCTCCTTTTCCTCCCTCTGTCCCCATGTTGCCACACTCCCTGACAGGTCTCTGGCCGACTGCTGCCCTCTGCTGGAAGTGGGTGATATGATGATGATGGGTAAAAACCCGGACCCCATGTGTGTGTTCACATATGTGCAGTCCCTCTGCCACAGCCTCTCCAAAATAGAGAAAGAGAGGAAGGACAAAGAAAAGGAGGAGAAAGAGCCGGCTGGTGTGGGAGAAGAGAAAGGAGAAGAAGCAGCAGGGGAGGTGTCCCCGAAGAAGGACGAAGGAGACTGTGCTGAGAATGAGGCGATGGATAGCCAGGGAGAAGTAACAGAGACAGAGGGCACCGGCGAGGAAGGAAATGCACCAAACAACTGTGAGATGGTGGGAGATGGAGGAGTGTTAGCCGAGGCAGAGTCCTAGACAAATTCTGACAACAAACAGAAAGACTGAAAAGACCAAAAAGGTTGTTGATGGTTGCGGTACTACAATGAGTAAGTCTTAACTTTAATTGTTGGATGTTGTTCAAGGGACGATATGAGGTCTGTAAAGTAAAGGGTTGCCCTCACACTAAAATTAAGCTAGGGATAACTGGCTACACTGACTGATAGGTCTTTAAATATAAGGACTAAGCAACAACTAAAATTAATAGAATACTAAAACTACAATAAAAACAGTGCGTAAACAAGTCTTTTTACATAGTTAGGCTACTCCCTTTTATTCACCTCTGTTACCTCTATATTTGGCTACAATAATTAGACTAATAGTTGCAGTTGATTGTTATTGCTAGTTGATATCTGAGCCCAGGTTCATTTTTGAGGATATATCATATATATTAATAAAACATCAACACACAGAATGTCCTTTACTTGAGTATTTTCTTTTCATGCCACTTTCTACTTCTACTCCACTACATCTCAAAGGGACATATTGGACTTTTTACTTCACTACAAATAATCTAACAGCTTAGTTACTTTACAAATGAAGTTTTTTACACACAAAACATATGAAGAGTTTATAAAATATGATGTTTTGTTATGAATTAAACTAATCGTTGTTCAAATGTTTTCACATCAAGGACCCCTAAACTGACACAAATTAGATAAGATTTTGTCCCAAAGTTGCCTTTTTGTTTTGCTTTTAGATGTTTTATCACAGAAAGTGTTTGAAACCCATGAACATAACAGTCACACTTTCTGTCAATTATAGTAGTATAAATGATTCTCCTTTTTGATGGGGATCCCCTGGAGCCCCATCAAGGACCCCTGAATCAAACTACCCAAAGTTCATACAAGACAGACAGAAGATTGGCAACTATTTTGATTGTTTAAGTCATGCAAAAACATTTCATGGTTCCAGCTTCACAAATTAATTATTTTATTCATTTGAATGTAGAGTTAATAATGTTAAGGTTTGGTAGGTTGGACAAAACAAAGCATTATGAAGGTGTCACTTTGGGCTCTGGGCAATTGTGAAGGCATTTTCTAAATTTTTACAAGAAATCAATGGAGAAACGGAGAAAATAATCAGCAGAAGAATTCATAATGGAAATAGTTGTTGCAATCCGATAGGCCCACAAAATAGTTCAAAATAAGATCCACCTCAACCAACTTCAAAAGTAAAATCCTGCTTTTACATGAATGCATGAGTACTAATAATCTCATATATAGTAAACAGTCACAGGGGACATTTTTCTGCCTTAAGTACCTACTTTAAGCACATTTTCCTGTTAATACTTCAGTGCAGAGCTTTTATTTGTAACAGAGTATTTTTACAGTGTGGTATTAGTACTTTTACTCAAGTAAAGGATCTGAATACTTCGTCCACCGCTGCTTACCACACAGAAGCAGTGAACCAGTAAAACATCAACAAAAACTGCCCCTGCTCTCCAGGAGTTACGGTACCCAGCGTCATGCTACCGGAAAGGCCATCTCGTTGTCCCCTTTGTAAGCTAACCCACCGATTGTGTCGCGCTACTTTCCAACATAATTCTCGGCAGCAGCAAAGTGAAACATGTCCACAGACATGCCGCCGGGGAGCTTGAATCTGGAGTCCCAGCTTTTGTCCATAATGGACGTGCTAGTGAAAGCGGCGGTAACGGAAATCAGTCAGCTGTTCTCGGAGAGCTCGGCGTCTCTCCGCCTGCATTTAACCCAGAGCCTAAAGGAAAACGAATCTCTGAGGATGAGGATGAAGGTGATGAGGAGTGAGCTCTTCTCCCTCAGACTGCAGACCAGGACGAACCGGCCGGCCAGCCGCTTTTCCCCGATCAGAGGAAACATCCCCAAACCACCACGGGCTAGATCACAAGGTAAGTTAACGGGTAACGTTACTTTCACTTTCAAAACACTTCATACTCCGGTTAAAACTAAGGCTAACGCTCCTCCTCCTCAGCCAGCAGTTCAAAACACACTGTTGTCAAAACCACTGCTTTTTATTTTAATTATTAAGTTGCTTTAATGAGGTGTGTACAAAATAAACTGCTAAATGGCAGCAGTTTCTTATCACGTGACACACACGACATTACATGACGTGTTTAACTTCACTATAACTAGTAAAGTTAGTTGTTAAAGGTAAATTATTCAGGCTCATTCAAGATATTTCTAATTACATGTTGGTTGTCAAAATGCTCATTTATTGATCAGAAATGAGTATATATATATATATATATATATATATATATATATATATAATGGTTAATTGATTATCGATGAATAAGTTTTGCCATTTTTCAAGCAAAAATTTTATTGACTCTGATTGCTATGTGTGGATTTGCTGCTTTTCAAATTATATCTTGTGGGCACGCAATAGCATTTCGTGTCCTTAATATACACATTTTCTCTATCTGAGCTTTCTAGGTCTTTGTACTATGGGGACGTGCTCAACATATTTACACATGTCGTCAGTTAATAAGAACTTTTCGTTTTTGCTAATATGTAATGGGATACAGAGGAAAATAAATTTTTTCTCTTGATTTCCTGGATCCTGCAGCAGCAGCAGCTTGCAACAATTGCTCATATCTTCTTCAGAAAATGCACGTTCTGGATATATAGGTAAAAGCATAGAGTTATACTAAATCCAGTAGATAGTGGAGGGAGTGTGTGATGACACTGAACCACATTGTGTCACATTATATTTATTTGGCAGATGCTTTTGTCCAAAGTGAGACACAACCTGGTCACAACAAGTTGTTCTGGATGCCCCTCAGTAGATGTGTTGATCAGCGGTCAATCTAAGACTAAACCCTTTCCAGTTCAAGGCATTACACTTGCCATTGCTTCAAACAAAACCTTACATTTGATCCAGTGTAACATGTTTGTCTTGTCAGAATTCAGACTGCAAATGAGATGTTACTGAAAATTAACTATATGTGAATTTAATTCACAATTCTGGTGCTCTGGACAGTGATAGTACACACACCTCTTATTCATCTGTCACCTGCTGTGCTCCTGAAATGATGTCTTTCTCTTCCCTCTAGTTGTCATTAAGCCACCAGTGGCTCAAAAGACTGTTGTGGAAGCTCCTTCTATTTCTCCACAATCCGAGAACAAGACTTCCTCCTCTGCTGCTCGAGCGAATGTAACTACAGTACATGTACTTTCACTAGCTAACAGCTTTGTTTGAAATCTTGTTTGCTCATGCATGTGTATTCTTACTTGCCCAGTGTCCAGATGTGGAGAGCCCAGATGTCATCCTGATTAAAGATGAAGATGACGTTGGAGGATGTGAGCCAGTTGTAGGTGAGTTTGCTCTTTTTAATAATGTAAGACCTGTCACTTTTATAGGACGGCACATTAGGGCCATTATAGGTAAAACTTCAGAGCAGACATAGAGAAGATGTGAAGCTTTCAGACAGGTTGATATGAGGGACTGCAACAAAGCTACTTCAAAGCATGTGTCACATCTTAGTCATTTATAAATGTCTGCACTTCTTACCCAGTGTTTTATGCTTTTGGCCTTTGAACAGAATGTCACAAAAAAAGTAGCTTTAATGTGACAGCTGTTATCATCATCTGCGCACCCTGCTTTAAATAGAACAGTAAAACGATATTTAGCGGGGGTTTTCTAGTAAGATTTTGACTTTAATCGCTGAGAAATTTTGTGTTTTGTTTCTAGCAAATTTCTGATTTCGGTCAAACAGACACACAAACCTAAAGCTCTAAATTTATACATGCATGACAGAGAGCAGGGAGTCCTGACATTACACCCTGTGTGCTGCCCAAAGGTTGATCCCCAGGCGTCCCAAACACAGCAAATAATAAGAAAATATAGGCAGAGGGCAGGGTCTTTGTAGATAAAGACTCCACCACGCACTTCTAGTGGGTCATACATGATGATTGAGAGGGATTCTTTTTGCATGAATGTATTGTTTTGTTTAGGAAAATCCTACTCATTCTGCCGTTAAAACAGAATGAATGGCATCATTCAGCCATAACACATAGCTGTTTAAAGTCCAGCACTGGCTGACTGACTACTTGAGGAGGGGCATTTTGTGTACACATTATTTTAGCTTTCAGTCAGCACTTGACAAGCACACACAGACTTTTCTTTATAGAAAGTATGTACTTTATTTTATAATGTCATTTTGTTTGACTTTTTAGGTCATGATGACTTTGGAAACCACAATACACAGGGTGGTTGTGCCACAGGGACTCAGAATTTAGAGTCATCCTGCCTGACAGGTAATCATGAGGAGCTGAGAATCTTGAGTGTTCACGGACGAGGAGAAGGGCCTCTGCAGGAGGAGAGCGACACCCTCTTCACTGCCTCTGAACTCCAAGCTTTTAGCTCTCTGTCTCCTAACCACAACGTCACCCATGACACTCTCCTGAATTTCACCACTGGTGCCAATGACAGAGCCCAGATGAGAGGGATGCTGGATAACAGCGTTGGACTGGGAAGAAACAGCCAAATGGAAAGAAATCCTTCCACACAAATGGCTTCAACAGCATTGGGCCCTGCAATAAAAACACCAGCCGTAGGAGCTGATGGTCATGTGGGGCACCCCAGTCATGTGAGCCAGTTCCCTCAGCAGCAGAACGTCTTCTCCAACACCGTCAACAAATCCCTGGACTGCAGCTTCTGTGGCGAGCGCTTCCTGAGCCGTGAAGACCTGATTGTGCACCGGGCAAGTCACACCGGGGAGTCGCCCGTTTTGTGTTCGTTTTGCGGCAAGTCGTTCGTCAACAAGACCACACTAAGCATCCACATGCGCATTCACACCGGGGAGAAGCCGTACGCTTGTATGCAGTGTGGGAAACGCTTCACGCAGAACGGCAGCCTGAAGATCCACCTGAGGACTCACTCTGGAGAGAAGCCGTACACCTGCAGTCAGTGCACCGCCAGCTTCAACAACCCTAGCAACCTGCGCAGGCACATGATCACACACAACGCCAACGGAGTGCTCTGACCATGAAAGATACACACGTTTTTCAGCATGTGCTTTTACTGACACTTGTGTCACAGTGTGTGTGTTTTGGGAAAATGTGGTTCCTGTGGCAGTATCTCATGGTCTTGTTTGTGTTTCTTGTTTTTTCACTTCACAAGGAACTTATCATGGGTCACATGTACTTAATAACCCTACACTGTATATCTAGACAACTGCCCAGTAAAATCAATGGACTGTTGTGGTTCAAAATATGGACTCAAACAAGCATGGTATCTGTTCAATATGGCGAGACTTGCATTCTTTAAAATTTTTTAAACAACCTTAAAAACTAAAATGCCTTTTTAATTTTCTTCCCTCGAGGGACTGCTAGAGTTAAATGTGTTATACTGTCTGAAAAGCAGACAAACGTGGATGCCTCATTGATCGTTCCAAAAAAGGGTACAGTATCTTAATTTAAGTAGAATTTGATA